TCCGGAGCAAGTACCTATTACAAAAGGCATCAAGACGAGACTCCAGTGCACTGGATAATGTCCAGGTTTTACTATCGTACAGCAAAACTGGCATTATCAGGGCCCTGGAAACCCGTAGCTTGGTCCTTCTGCACAGGTACCGGCATCTCCAAATACTCTTGTCGAGAGAGTTCATGACCCCTGCTGCCAGGCCAATCCGTCTGCTGACTTCCTGGTCTGACAGCCCAGAGTTATGAACTGCACTACCAAGGTAGGTAAAGCTCTCTGTGACTTCAATGTCCTCGCCACAAGCACGTACCGACTGAACAGGTTTTTCTAGCAAGTCCCCAAAGTCCTGGATCTTGGTCTTGGTCCAGGAGACCTCTAGACCCAAGGGCTTCGCTTCATTACTAAATGCATCGAGGGCCACCAGTAAGGTTTCTAAAGACTCAGATAGAATAGCAACATCATCGGCAAAGTCAAGGTCTGTAACCTTAATATTACCCAATGTTGCTTCACAATGACTTTGAACAGTAGCTCTGCCTAGTATCCAGTCCATGCAAGTGTTGAAAAGGGTTGGTGCAAGAACACAGCCTTGCCTCACTCCTGAACTGACAGGAAGAAGCCAGACCCCACCACACTTTCCAGCACTTTCAGTACCAGTATATAGGTTTGTTATTAGTTCAATAATCCTTGTTGGAATTCCTCTCAGTCTCAGGATCTCCCAGTGATTGCCAATGCACTGTATCGAATGCCTTCTTGAGGTCGATGTAGGCTGCAAGCAACCCACGTCCGAACTCACGACAGCGCTCTAAAATGACTTGAAGCGCAAGGATACGGTCTATTGTGGACTTACCAGGAGTGAATCTGGATTGCTCTGGCCTCTGATGCCTTAGTAGATGGTCTCTGATACGCCTCAGAAGGATGCAGGCAAGAACCTTGCCTGGTACACTGAGCAGTGTGATGCCGCGGTGATTGCTGCAATCCATTCAGTCCCCCTTCCCCTTCCAGAGAGGGATGACCACACCCCTCAACAGGTCAGAGGGAACGGTACCAGACTGCCAGATGGCAGCCAGGACAGCATGCAATCCCCGCACCATAGGTTCACCACCAGCCTTTAACAGTTCAGCTGGGATGCCTGCTTTACCACTCTTCAGCTTGGAGATCGCCTCCCTAACCTCAGCTAGGGAGGGAGGGTCCTCGCTAATGGGTGGGTCCGGCAGCAGAATCACAGCACTACCTACATCCAAGTTAACTGTTGGAGGGTCAACCTGATACAACTGCTCAAAGTACTCAGCCCAACGCTCCCTCACTGCAACAGGATCTGAGACGATCTGGCCACCCACTAAGCGAACTGCAGTCACCTGTGAAGAGGGCTTGGAGTTCAGTTTTCTCAGGGCTTGGTATGCAGGACAAAGGTCAATTACTAAGAAATGGCCTTCGACCTCCTCAGCAAGATTCCTAATAAACTGTTCCTTGTCCCTTCTTAACAGAGACCGAGTTCTGCACACCTGAGAACGGTGCAAATCCATATCCCCTGCCAGATGAGCCGCACGGCAAGCATCAGTGGCTTCCAGTGTCTTCTGAGAGATTGAATTCTGTCTTGCTCTCGGGCGTTCTCCAATCGAATCTTGGGCTGCATCAAGCGTTTCACGCTTGAAGGTGTCCCACAGAAGTACAGGGTCCTTCAGATTGTCAAGCGCTGTGAGCCGATCAGAGATTGTGTCAGCAAACCTCGGGGCACACTCCCTCTCTTTCAGCCTGTCCAGATGAAACACCCTAGGGTGATCATTGGGCCGCTGGGGAGTTTTGAAGTGTACCCAGAGGGTAGCCACAACCAATCTATGGTCAGTACCACAGAACTCAGCCCTCCTATACACCCTGCAGTTCTGGAGGATCCTCCAACAAGTGCTAACGAGAATGTGGTCGATCTCCTTGGCTGCATTACCCGCATCGCTGTACCATGTCCAACGATGTGGGACAGGAGGGAATTCTCGCTGCCAGTATCAACTCCCGAACCATGAGGACCGACTGACATCTCATAGCCAGCTCGATCGCAGCCAGATACCGCATTGAAGTCACCCAGAACAATACAAATATCTCGCCGGGGACAACTGTCTGCAAGTTTGGCGTATAACATCTCTTTCACGTCAAGTTTACAAACATCGGTAGGAGCATACACAGCAATAAGAGACATGAAGCCCAAAGACAGCTTCAGTCTCATTACCATTATATATATATATATATATATATATATATATATATATATATATATATATATATATATATATATATATATATATATATATATATATACGCTATACAAAGATTGAGACAGATTCACAAGAAATATATATTCACATTTTTAAACTATGATACTGTCTCATGGTTATATTTGACCAAATGATCAGGCTTTAAATTAATTCACTCCATTTTCTTTTTCCTTTTTTATCTATATATCTAACAACTGGAAAGTGAAATTCAATTTGTTTTGTTATATTAACATCATAGACTGACTGGGTCAATAAAACAACATTTAGAGAAGAAAGTTAACTTCATATTCATTATAAAATTACAAAGAAAAACACTTCTTATCTAGTTCTAGTATACTTTAGGACAAAATATATGGTATAATTTCTATTTGCATGGGAAAATAGAAAAAGAAAGACAAAAATACAGAAAAACTGTGAAAGAACTGACACAATCTACTATGCTAATGTTACCATATACATTATGCAGAATCACATATTCTTTTTCTTTATATACTTTCCTTTGCTGTAAACTGAAAGAATTTTTCATTCAAAATCTCTTGTCACATCAAACTAAAATATATCTAACTTTAAATTGCAATACACTGAATGATATTTTTAATATTGTTCATTTTGTTCATGTTTCACCATATAGCCATTCTTGGGGAAAAATACATGGCTATCAGTTTTACACATTTATTCAGAACTGGATATCTCATATTTTTCATGCATTTCTTTCACTGTAACCCCCTCCAGTTCTGCTAATCTACCCATGACCAACTGAGCAGCATCCTTAATTTCATTGTAGCGATGTAGATTCTCTATATGTACTTGTAGTTCTTCAGTCTTCAGCCCTTGTTCTTCAAGGGAAGTAATTTCATTATCCAATTCTAATTCTTGCTTCTTAAGGGCAGCCAGTTGCTCATCCAGTGAGCCTTGTGCTTGATCTTGCCCTATGTTCCTGCTTGGGCTTCGGAATGGTGCACTGAAGCCCTGCAGGGATGTTCTTCTGGCTATGTGTGATTTTGATAATGCATGTCTCTTTGGAGTTACGTTGGCTGATCCTCTTCCTCCTTTAGTTTGCATTTGGGAATTCTCTTTCAATTCCAAGGCACTGCAAGATGTCTTCAGGTCTTTGGAGGAATCTTCTGGCAATATCTGATGATTTGGATTGGATTCTGAGGACACATTTCCTCTAAATGGACTTTTAAAGGCCTGTCGCACACGGGAACCCCCTGGTGTATTTAATCCCCCATTTGCATTCTTCATATAAAATGACATAATTAAGTCTGCACTGCAATCACTTCTCCTGACCTAATCACTACTATATTTTCTATTAGTATGCTTTCCAACAATTATTTGTACTGATTCCTAAACATCAACGATTTTTTTCTTTTACTATTTCCTGATGATGAATCCTCTACTCCAGAACTTAGCTTGATATTATGCCCTCAGCTGCATTCTGTCAACTGTAAAATGGGGGGAAAAAACTCATCAGTCCTTATGAATTTTGAATATTCACTGCAATAAGAATCAAACTACTAATTAAAGATATAATCCAATGTTGACATATAAATCAAAGAATGATGAAGTATGCAATAACTGTGAATTTTTTCTCCCAAATGTTTATGTACTTTGTGCTGTATGCAAGAAATATCTTGCATACAAACCAAACTTACATGTATATAGCTGGATCATTGGATCATATGCATATGATCCAAGAACTGTTAAAATTCAATATCAAAATGTTAATTTTTCAATTAAAAAAGTGAAATTCATCAAATATATGTAATCCTGTTCATTAGCCCAATATCTCTGTTAATAAAAACACAACTTCTTTTATAAATCAGCTAATGTAATGACTGTGAACAGGACACACTATTTTAAAGTTTTCATTTATAGCTATCTATCATCAAGTTTAAGTCTCTTGAGTTTTTGCATTCATGTCTGGCCATAAAGCTAATATAGGTCATACAAAGTAAGTCTGGTCTAACAAATCACATATAATATACATTTTCACTAAGTATCATCAATCCTTGATCAAAGAATAACATAAATAAAACATGATCATGGTAAACGGTCCTGTTCTGATACAGCAGTTTAGTCTGCAGAAACCAAATACTCTGACGATATTGGCTTGGCAGTGCATTACTAATGTGTTAGGCTTGAAACTAGGCCATCACGTCACAGCGTTTTCAGTCAATATAATCATATATATATATATAAAAGAAAAAGTTTTGTTTTAAAAGCCACGACAAGTATCTTCCCAAAATCATCGCGATACATTGTGCAGTACTATTGTGTAAAATTACCATCACTTGGAGTTGGGAACAGTTTCTGATGATTGTGTCAATACTGTAAAGAGTGTCTGAAAAGTGTTATTGGCTCTTCCTATTGTGCTTATCTATTTGCTCTGTAGACTGTTACTGTTAGATGATGCTAACAGACATTAATTGGAGTTTACTGATATTAAATTTGATAGGTTATAAGGTGCAGACCTATTCTAGGAACTTACTCAGAGGACACTACATAAAACAGTCACATCTAATAATATTAGTATCATCAAACACACATTTAACATTAAAATTCTGGAATGACTCATTAATTAACCTTAAGAAAAAAGATCTAGGTCTCAACCAACATAATTACACAAACAGAATAAACTAATTTTGGTATTATTGGAAATGCAAGTCCCATATCTAAATTAAAGAATCTGAGGTTACCAAGTACAAGAACACATTATTCTATGAAAGTTTTCTTCTATGCCATTTTCTCCGCAAATTAACAATAACAGTATTAGAATGAATAAAATCCACAATTTCAAGGAGCTACAGTAACCTTACACCTCCAGTGCCGACACAAAATGACACAAAAATTGTTTAGCGCGGCTGAAAATCAGACGGACTTGTAGCAGATGACGAATGTGAGAGAAATCAAAGGAGCCAATTAGATTCATAAGTCAGTGTGACGTGAACATAGACACTCAATAGAACCAATCGGATATAGAATAGCTCATCACGTGACAATAGAAGCTGTGCCGAGGAGAAGGCAATTGGAATCCAAAAGTGTGTAGGGTATGAGAATAATTACTTGGACTTCATCGTGAAATATTACCGAAACAATGATGCAAGCTTATTATACCTGCAAAATCACAGTGTACTTCCAGTGGAAGCACTGAGCCCACACTGTAAGACACTGTGTCATTACACAAAAGTCAGACACCAGTAGTCCACCACCAGTTCTTTGTCGAGACCGCAAAACTGTACCCTCCACTGTCTGAATAAGGAATGGCAGATGGCGACCGCAATTCCTGCCAACAACAACCTAGATGACCCCCATGATCCCAGTGGCCCACAGCCTGGCCCAATTGGAGTTAAAGCTTGAAGTAAGATATGGTTACAACTGTTCCTGGGTCTGACCTCCCTCCTGCTAGAACATGAGGTGAAAATTTCGTAGCCCTGGTAGGGGGTGGGGATGCATTTCCAAATTTACCCTTATTACATATTGTGTATAATGATTTCACTGCTGCATGTCAATATCAGAAACTGACTTCTAAAGCTAAACATTTCCCACCACTGAGCCTGTGTTTGTGTTGACTTTTTGCCAGATTAAACATTTTTTGGCTTTTGACACTCACCCTAACACTCTTGTGTCCGATTTGCTTGAAGACACCCGATCCATAGGCAAAGGCAAGACTGTACCCTTTAGGAAATATCTGTAAAATTCTATGATAATGGGTTCCCATAATCCAATTCGCAACCCGCGCGACGGTCCCGACAAAATGTAAACACAGCTGATTCTCTCCATTCAAGTTTGACAAAATATTTGATTTTGAGAAATTGAAAGATAAGAAATCACATATTTCTTATTTTCCAAAAACTAAAGTATAAATTGAATCTTGTGTCAATATACTATGTATAAACACTAAATCACTCTCTCTTTATTTATATATATGGGATACATTCGAGTCGAAGGAATAAACATACTCAACACACACACACACACACACACACACACACACACACACACACAACACACACACACACACACACAACACACACACACACACACACACACACAACACAAACACAGCACACGCGCGCGCGCGCGCGTATTAAAACAACTATGTAAGAATACACACGCACGCATACGCATATAAATAAATAAATAAATAAATAAATAAATAAATAAATGAATAATTAAATAAATATATGTGTGTGTGTATCTATATGTTCTATATGTGTTATATGTATGTATGTGTATATATATATATATATATATATATATATATATATATATATATATATATATATATATATATATATATATATATATATATATATATATATATATATATATATCATCATTAGGAGCTAACGCCGACGGGGGCGCATAGCCGCGTCCACCTTTTGGGATCCCTCATGGCAAGTCGCCAGGCAGGGACCTGGCTCATCTCGAGCTCCTTCCGACAGGTTTGATCGATCTGCACAAGCCACGACCTCCTAGGTCGTCCCACTGGCCTCCTCCACCCAGGGTTGCCTCTTACAGAGACAGCCTGATGAGCAGGATCAGCCTGTGGAAAGCGAGCCTGGTGGCCATATAGCCTGAGTTGGCGATCCCGGATTGTGCAGGTAACAGGTCCTGTGCCAGTCTCACGGTGTAACCGTTGGTTAGACACATGGTCCCGTCAACAGTACCCCATGATCCGGCGCAAGGACCTATTACAAAAGGTATCAAGACGAGACTCCAGGGCACTGGATAATGTCCAGGTTTCACTACCGTAGAGCAAAACTGGCATTATCAGGGCCCTGAAAACCCGTAGCTTGGTCCTTCTGCACAGGTACCGGCATCTCCAAATACTCTTGTCGAGAGTTCATGACCTCTACTGCCAGGCCAATCCGTCTGCTGACTTCCTCTTTGACAGCCCAGAGTTATGAACTGCACTACCAAGGTATGTAAAACTCTCTGTGACTTCAATGTCCTCGCCTCAAGCAGGTACCGACCGAACAGGTTCTCCTAGCAAGTCCCCAAAGTCCTGGATCTTGGTCTTGGTCCAGGAGACCTCTAGACCCAAGGGCTTCGTTTCATTACTAAATGCATCGAGAGCCGTCACTAGGGTTTCCAAAGACTCAGATAGAATAGCAACATCGTCGGCAAAGTCAAGGTCTGTAACCTTAATGTTGACCAGTGATATATATATATTGTGGACCTTTTCATATAAATGAAAAGGTCCACAAAATGCTAGGACTGATTGCCAGCATGAAGAGGGCATTCGTGTATGTGGACGAAGATATGTGCCATTTTTTTCGGTGGCAATTATTAGGCTTTGGTCAGACGAGCGATTTTAGTGGCCCGACTGCTAGAAGCGCGCCTACTGACTCAGTGAATGTTTACACACGGCGCTTACAGTGGCCCGACTTGTCTCTCCCCCTCTTGGCTGGGGGAAGCGGAAGCTACTGTCGCTTGTCTGTACCTCGAGTGGCTGAGCAGTCGGGTGACTGTGAGGGAGATCTTAAGTTGCGCCACAGGCCAGCCACAAGCCACTACGTGTGTGCTCCTATTCACTTCCATTGACCTGACAGGTGCGCTTCTAGCAGTCGCGCCACTAAAGTCGCTCATCTGAACAGGGTCTCATTGGTCGAATCCCACCCACTCCAGCCAATGAGTCGCGCCATCACCATAAAAACGCAATGGCTGTCGCCATATATGTGCAGCTGCATAGCAACACATGTACCTCGAGTGCTGAGCAGTCTCGGGACGGTGAGGGAGATCCAGAGTCGCGCCACAGGCTAGCCACAAACCAATACGTGTGCGCTCTTATTCACATCCATTGACCTGGCAGTAGCGCTTCTAGAAGTCACGCCACTAAAGTTTCCCAACAGAATTGAAGCATTTAACAGTCTTCCCAAAAACGTAGTGTGTGCCAAAAATGTGCATCAATTATAAAAGTTATAAGACAATTTTAATATAGCAGACGAGACCTCCTGAACTTGGCTCTTCTGCATTTAAATAACTAGGTAAAAACAGTGCAGAGGTCTGGTGATGCCTGGGGCCAACCCATTGATTGTATGCCTCAAGACTCCTAGTATTGAGAAATATTATGAGAAAATGAAGTATTTTGAATGAGTAAACCGATGAAACAGCAGATAAACACTTTATCTGATTTAAATGTTTCAATACCACTATCTTATTTCTCTCTCTAATTGGATGCCCTCCCCATTTGGATGCCCGGAGCCACCACCCTTCGGCGCCCCCCTCAGCACACCACTGCCTTAATTAATAAAAGATGGGTACTTGGAAAATGCTTCAAATTATAAGGGATGGGTTTCTCACACGAACCAAACTCATTTCTTGTTTTCATTTTGGACCGTATAATAGTGGCAATGGCAGTGTAACAGTATAATACAGCTTATAGTAATTATGAAAATAAAGCAGCAAGAAAGATCAATCTAACATCCACGACAACGATAGCACTTAGGAGCTATTATTCCCAAAAATTCCTCTGTAAAGTTTGAAACGCTGCCATTCTATCATTTCAGCAATGTATGTAAAATCAAACAAACAAGCAGGCTTACCAATCTATGGCATTTATTATTCTGTCAAACTATTTGAATTTATTAGCTTGGACAATTCCTGTGCAATATTTCACATAACACCATAGTATACTATATACTACACTTTAGATTTAAACAAGCACTTTAGTCACGTGAAAGTTATGAAATTTAACTGCTGAAAATTTAAACTAAAAGAAAACGGCTCAACTGCTGTCAAAATATTGAGATTTTCATTATACAAAAAGTTGAACAGAACAAAATCAATAAATAGAAAAAAACAAGAGTATAAGTTTTGATGAAACCTTAGATACCTAAAGATGAATAAAAACGTGCACAATAAAATGTTTTACGCGGTATTCACTCAGTCAATTTCCGCTGTCATATACGTTAGTTCACTTCGCTCCAGAATCCCGACAGTACCACTAGTTATTACCAATTGGACATTCAGTTCTTTGAAAGTAACAATTATGCCAGAGAATAAACCAACACCGCCTTCTGTTCGCATGGATGAATTTCAGAATACTGTGAGCGATTATGGGACAGAATTAGCAGGTGTTGTGAGTATTTTAGTTCGTTTTCCCTCGTGGTGTGGATTTTTTAATTTTTTTTATCCATACCTTATAATGGTGATTGTCGAACTAGTCTTTATCCTACTTTGTATTTGTGTACATATGGTAGATGAAGTGACCAGTTATTTGACTTATTTTGCCGCTTGTAGGCCTACATTTTATTTTAGAGGTATCATTTGTTTATAAATTTAAGCCAGATTATTGACAGTCATACTTGTATGACTTATGTTTACTGTCAACGCATCTGCCCACCGCCCATGATGATTATGAAATATTTATTATCGTTACTGTCTTATTTCTCGAGGGTGCCTAAAGCTTTTGCGATATGTAAAGTGTGGTATTCCGTAAACAACCATTTTTTTCAATATATTCAGTAATTACTTGTGATTCTTACTAGAGATACTAAAAAGAAATGTGAATAAACATATAGTGATTAAAGATTCATCTCACTAATCTGATAATGTAAAGATTGTTAAACAGCGTTTGGCTAATACAAGCTAGGAGTTTGTTATCAACAAATAATGAAAACTTAATATGCTTAGTCTGATTATGGAAATGATTTACATAATTGACATAATTTACATGAGGCAACAATCAACAGTGGAATCCTACTTTAATTTTAATCGGTGCACTATAGAGTTTGAAAGTGAATACGAACTCAAAACTACTGGATTATATAATTTTTCAGAAGCGACAGGTAAAAGCAGCTGTGACTCGACAGAATGAATTACAGGCAACATTAGAAAAGCAGAGAGCCATGACTTCTGAGCTGAATGCTGAACTACATTCACTTCGAGGTTGGACTAAAGTACACATTTTCAATAGCCTTTGTTTTTGAGTATTTCGCATTAAAGTGTTTTCGGGGTATCAGTAATTACTGTTTTTTTTGTACATGTAGTTTTAAAGATTACATCTATTACTCACAGACATTTTACATTCACTCATAAAATCTAAATATAACTTAAATCATACTTAGTACAATTTATAATTCAGTCGGAAGCTTGAACTATTTAGAATAAGATATATGCTTATTAAAGAAAACCATCATCAAAAATGTTTTCCCAGGCAAAGACTTGGAAGAAAAGGAGCGCGAGAAGTTCCACCTGGAGACTGTGAAGGAACTCAACCAACAGCTGAAAGCCCACAAGACTCAGCTCGATTCCATTCGTGCTCTCACCGCTTCCAACCGAGAGCACATCACGCACGAGGTGTAAGTAATTTCCTCAGATCACGCACGAGGTGTAAGTATCCCGCATTTCTTCTCGTATCCTTGAGTTCCATTCTTTCTTTGGACCATGTGTTTGCGCTCGATAGATAGGACTTGATGACAATTAGTAGTAGTGGTTCTTTAACGGCGACGGAGAGGGGAAGAGAATTCCCAGAAAGCCCGAGATGGCTTTAATGAAAATACATTTTATCCAGCATGGCCATTCTACCTTGCCAATGAGATCATGACATTCATCAGACCAGTACCATCTTGTATGGATGGCATATCGCGTAATTTAGCACCTTGCACAGAGAACATGCAAAAAGAAAAAACTCACCCTCACTCGTTGCACATGTCATTTTGTAATTCAGATGTGAACAAGATAGACTGAGTAAAATTGTTTCGGCAGAGCGAATGACGTGCGCACTTTTGAGAGCAAAATATTTTCATCCGCCATACATATAATTTTTCTCAGACCCTAGTCTCTTGTACTTCCCTCGATTGTAACACGATTAAAATCTGCGGAAGAATACCCTGAATTCATATGATCGAGAATCTTTTTATAATGATAAAATTCTGTACCCAAGAGTTGCATAATAAAGACAGGAACTTCTACGAAGGATTATGGCGATCTACCAAACCATTGCCAAATATCAAATGTCCGCGTTAAACTATGCAGACAGTGTGAGCCTTAAATGATATTGAAATGCTTTGTCCTTCAAACTACTGCATTTTTGTGTATAAAAACTAATAATAAATTAACATGTTTCATATCCATTTCAGTTCTGAATACGAGTGCAAGAGCAGAGATCTCGTCAGAAGCTTCCAGTCTTTGCAACTTTTGGATAAGGTAGGAAAAACATAAAGATGTTCGTAGATAAATAAACGTTATGAACGGGTGTAATGAGGGAGGTCAATCAACTCCGAAAGGTGGCATTAGTTAGAATCTAGAGTCAATTCTATGGTTTATAAAATCGTAGGCATTACATTTGATTGATATTTTTTTTTCTTGTTTTAGGATAGTAATTGACAAATTCTGCCAAATGATTCGGAATTCTTTTGTTCTTACTGACCCCCCCCCATACGCAGATTATTTTTAGAAAACATAAATTCCTACCCTTTTGTGTTGCGTTATGTTGCGTTAAGTGTTAATCCAATATACAGTATTAAAGGTTTCTACAAGTTCTCTTGACTCTCATTGTCACAGGTAGAAAGAACCAATATTATCTGTGCTTCATTATGTTCATTTTTACTTGATGTTTTGATTTTTCTTGCCTGTTCTGTTTGCTGATTTTGTGGATTCATTATCGTATATCGGTTCATGAATCATAATTACTTTGAATGATTGTAACTGAACATCTCTGAGACACCTGGTAATACGTTTCCGGTCTCATCGCACTGCATGTAAAAAGATATGTAGACATACTCCTCTAGTCCTCCAATAAACTTTTCACCATAATGTAAAAAACCGCATCGCCATCATTTAATATCTAATACTCTTTTGGAGCTTAGGATGAGGAAGCGCCCGCTGAGATCCTGACGGAGGAATACGCGAAAGAACTACAGGAAGTAATAGAGCTGGAGAAACTTGCTGAGAATCTATCACGTACTCCCGGCTTAGACCTTCCTTTTGATTACTTACGTGACTTGCTGTAAGTACATTTTTTCTATAAAATTGCAAGTTTATAACAAATATTAAGATATTAATTGTGTGAATGCGTGTTAATTAGTTGTGTAAGTTATGGATATAATCGTCAATGCCATTTATATAATTGCAGACGAGAAGTGAACGTGAAGATCGGACACACCGAGGAAGAGAATAAATCCTTGCAAGAAGAGATGTCAGGTCATCAGGAAACTTACCAGAAGTTACAAGACGCCTAGTTAAAGTCATCACAGAGTGAATGGCTTCAGTTATCTCGCCTGTTGTAGAAAGGAAGAGTCCTCTTATGTTTTCTGTTAAAGCCTGGAATAATGAAGATGATTTTGTTGCTTTATATGAAAGATTTACTCTTTTAATTTCTCGTATCCTGTACGTTGAAATCTGACGAAAAAAATATATATTTACAGTTTTGAGTTTGTTTAAACATAGAGCAGGTTTATAATCAGAGTTTTCGAAAAATTGTGATTTGTATCGGACATCAATAAACAGAATTGCTGTGTCTTCAGCTATACGCACATTGCAGTACACACTTTACTGCCGAGAGCTATAAGTACTGGCATTATATTTTCATGGATTTTTTTTTTTGCATAATGACCTGTATGTGTACAAGTAATCCACATAAGGTGTAGGCTAATGTTTTTAGTTGTTTACGTTGCAAAATAAGTATATTAATCCAGCTCTACATGTTTGAATTACTATATCCTCGTTAGTGGTGATACATTAAATCAAGTGGCTAGTTTAAAATTTAATCAGAAAAGTTCTTTTCAATCCGAAGTTTAACCTTGGGTCCTAAATTATGCAAGACGGGCCTTCGGTAAGTTCTTCGGCATCCTCTGCTCCCCAGGGTTCCAACATGTTTCTCTGATGGTCCTTTAGTTATCTTGGAATCGTGCGATGTATTCTGTCCATCTGTTTCCCCTTTATTAATGTGTGGATGCCACTGACATTCATTTACTGTGATGCAAATGCTGTGCTTGGAGTCTGCATGGAGAGGCCCATGGCATACATATTTTGTGTTGGACAACTGTAAGCATCCCAGCGTGCTGGGCGTTTGTTTATGTCAAGTTTGATAATATATTAATTCAGCAGCTTTCTTTTGACAGCCATGCCTTCCGACATCTGATGCAATTCTTCCATTGAAATTTGGAGTATAAACTATCCTGCCAAATGTAAACAACCTGATTAGCAGAATGGAGGGAAGAATAAAATGGGGGTGGGTAATTTTGCCTCAAAATATGCTGGTTACTATAGTGATGTGGTTTCCCAACAGTTAAGGACTTTGCCGTCAGTGATGGATTCGTTAAACAGCTTTACCAACATCTTGACGACAGGTCTTCCGACATCCTTCGAAGTCCAACAAGTCTGGTGCTAGGAAAGGAGAATATGTAAATGTGGGTTTGGAGACATTACTGAAATTCTTCGGTATCAGACCTCAATACCAGCCGTCTAGAGGTCTAATGCCGTAGAATTTAATTTAGAACTCTTCGTACCCGTAGACTATGCTGTCGGGGCCGTGTGCTATCCGACGGACACTGCTTTTTCCCTTTAAAAATTTTCATTGTTTATAGCTGTTATCCTTTCTCATAGTCGTTAATTCTAACTTCCTTCTGACATCACATGGCTTTTAAAGATTGCGGTGCAGTTTGTGTGTTGTAGTCATGTCCCTGCTCTTTCCTTCTCATCGCATTTCTTTTGTCACCATGCTTTCACGATCTTGATCTATTTCAAAGTTTCCAGTGTTGGCTAACTTGATGCTGTTAGAGCAGTTGTTATGTACAATATGAGACTATCTGATGATCTGTTAGTCAATAAAAGCTGGAGCAGGGGCTGGGTACACTTACCCCCTAAGACTCTGGTTGCACCGCTCAAGGTTTGGCTTGTCCCCCCTCCCCCAGGGGCATATATTTTTTTTTTCACTAAATTACTCGTATAGATCCGGTTATAGCTTAAAAACATCCCTAGATAGCTAATTTTCAAAGTTTTTGTTCACTTCACTCACCTACCCACCTTAGCTCTCTCCCATGGAAAAGCTGAAATTACGCCCCTGGGCTGGAATTCTTTCAACTTGTCGATAGCACCTCGTGTTCGTAAATCTTCAGCCGATACCTTTAGGCAGAGTTAGCAGGAGATTTTCCTCTGGTATTACGTTCACGGATACTGAACGAGCATATGCAGGACTACTTTGCATAGCCCAACCCAACTTAAACACTGAAGTCGCCCAAAATATCTTGTGGACCAAGTTGTTGCTGACGAGAGAGAGAGGAAGAAAGAATGAAAGAGAGAGAGAGAGAGAGAGAGAGAAAGAAAGAAAGAAAAAAGAAAGAAAGAAAGAAAGAAAGAAAGAAAGAAAGAAAGAGAAGAGAGAGAGAGAGAGAGAGAGAGAGAGAGAGAGAGAGAGAGAGAAAGGAAGGAAAAAGAAAAGAGAGAGTGAGTTCATATATATATATATATATATATATATATATATATATATATATATATATATATATGTGTGTGTGTGTGTGTGTGTGTGTGTGTGTGTGTGTGTGTGTGTCATGCATGCGTGTCTTTTTGTGTGTATTCAAATAGTTTACGGTAATTATTAGCCACTATATTGTGTGTTACCACGAAAAGATACTAAAACATGACAGTAGTTAGCAAATATCAGGAGACAAAAAACATTTAAGAACTATTTGAAATAAATGCGATAATTTAATCACAAGGATGAAACTAAATTTACACTTTTGTCGTTCTATGTAATATGACATAACCCGTATTTATTATAAACGCTGATATCAGCTGTTTAGTGTAAACAATACCGCATGGAATAGCCTGGGTCTGTGCACTTTAGATCTTCCGGGTAAAATTCGGTTACTCTAATATTACAGTAACAATGTATAATGCAGTGACAGTGTCGCAAAATTATTAACTGAGTATTGATTTAATAGGATATATTGCTGTTTTAATATGAAATGAATATGGTCGGTACAAGAGCCGATTGAGATTTATTTCCTCTTTGAGGAGATTTAGAAAAAATGTTGCAAATGTATTATGAACAGAGCAGTCTATGTCAATTTTAATTATTATACCAAGAATAACCAGAATACCTTATGAACAAGCATTTTCTTGTGATGTTTAAATTAACCTGTGTGATGTCATGTAGCAAAGCAAATATTCTTATAGTGTACTATAATATACTGTAATATAAGAATAGTAGAGTTTTTGGTATATGTTACCGAGAATGACGTTCAGAGATAGGAGGAAATGGACACTGCTGTGGTATGGAGCACAAGAAATACAGTAAATAGCAACATAGGTACAGCTGCAGCAGCCTCGTGAAATTACGAAAATATTTGCTGTCCACAACACCCTCACACAGACAGAGTTCTCAATGTTCGTTTTCTATAAGTTGGCAGAAAGTGCTAATAAATGGGGGTACAGAGGGGGGGGGGTGCTTGCTCCCTTGTCTAGGGAATAAATAGAAGGTAGGAAAGGTGTATGATACCCTGATTTGGGGATTTAGTCTGGGGGGTGCATTGCTCTCGTTAACAATTACCAAGTTTTTTGTATTCTTTCTTTGGTATCCTACTGAACTTTTTATTGGTTTAGTAAATTTTCAGAACACCTTCACATGACTGATTATGATGATATAGGTACTCATGGATTCTTCTCACCCTCTGCTACCAATACACAGAACATTTATCTCAGAACCTCAATGAACCCACACATTCTTGGCCTCAATAACAGAGAAAGCCATGAGATGTACCAGAGATATTGCAGGGTAAAATTAAAATAATATGCCATAAAGATGTCACTATATTATGATACTCAGAAGTATACTGTCGAATGCATGGGGCTGTGATTCCCCTCCTTAGGGCCAGGTTGGAAAACATGCAAATGCTGGTAGTGACGCTGATCTTTTAATAGTCATCATTTGCAGCTGAGATTGTTTTTGCTCAAAACCAATTTTCTTTCTCGCAGATATTTATATTTTAACACAAAGAAATACAAAGTCCATCCATATTCAAAAGCAAACATGAATAACAATCATTTAATTATTAAGTCACTTCGGAACATTATCAAAAGTGAAAAATTATCGCTGTTGCTTGCTTCATAAATGTCCTGCCCTCGTAAGCTGCAATCCATACATTGCCGTTGCTCACTACTACACATCCACAAAAAACATATTTCCCAGACCCCACAATTCAAAATAAATTCACAGCAGGACCTTCCCAATACCTTGCTTCTTGTTGTCATGGGAGGGCTTAGGAGACGGAGACTGAGGTCCAAGGTAGGGGCCACCTCTACTTTGGGCCTCAGCCCACGCCTCAACTAATTTTGCTTGGTCTTCTCTCCTTTACTCTTCCATATCTTCTTCATCCCCTTCTATCCCATTCCTAAGCTGTGAGAGCCACGTTAAAAGGCTGGCTTTGTGTCAGTCATGAATGGCCATGGGCACGGTATTTTCTTGGGTAACTGCCTAATCCTTACCCCTTATGGGGAACCTGAGGGGTAGACCGTTTCTTTTTCCCATTTTATTCAGGCTCACTATGGCTCCTTAATAGGGGAATTAAGGCTTACCCCTTCACCAACTAGCCTATCTAAATTTGATTTTGATGGTTTTCTGACCCCTTCGCCTCCTTCGATAATGGCTCCGACTACTGATACTAATACCCCTTCTTTGACACATACGAACAACTCTAACCCTTCCAAAACACCCACCCAGGTTATTACTCAACCTGCAGAAAGGACCCCTTCCTCTCTCCCAACATTCTTCTCTCCATCTCTTACTGCACAGTCCACTTTACTGTCTACCCCTTCTTCCCTTATTACTACGCTTCATCCTTATTGTCCCCCCCACCCCAGAATACTCCACTCCATACCGCCCTATCTTCCTCTTGCCCTCGTCCTTCTACAGTCTCTACCTCTGCAAACCTTCTGAGTACTCTCTTTGGTCTAGCCAAGTGGGATCAATTTTTTGTGATTCCCCTATTGCCTCCTATTCTGAGAATACCCTTGTCTTTCAACAGTGCCTCCAGAAACAAGTAGGCAAGGTTACCTTTCGCAGTCGCTCTGATCGTTCATGCCTTGTCACAGTTACATCTGAATCCCAAGCTCGTGCACTATCTACCCTAACTGATCTTACTGGCAAACCCATTCCTGCCGAACCTCACCCCTCTCTCAATACTTGTACTGGAAATATCTCTATTCCCCCAAATGCTAGTCCTATCTATAAAAAGGACTGGTCAGACTGTGAAAATGGCCTACTTACCTGCCTTGATGCAGTGATAGTACAGTAT